ATTGAATGACAAGCGAGACAACAAAACCCAATTGCTCACGCTTCGATATCGAGAATTCAGTGTCAACTGTAGGCAAGCAAGGTGCATAGCATCATCATAGCTCAAATTCTGTTTACGATCCAGAAAACGAAAGCCGCTCTTACCTCCCTTGAGCCGTCAGTTTTGCATGATCAAAAATCCAATGTGATCTACAAGCTGTCTTGTCGTGCACGTATTCCAACTATAATGGACAAAAAATTCGTCATTTAGCAACATAGATTGAAGAAAAGAAAGAGGACACGCCTGTAAACAGAGTTATACGGCAGTGTGGGGAGAAAGCAATCACTGCATAAATGCATAGTTGAGTTGGAAGATAATAGATGAGTCAAACAGGCAGTCTTAGAAATATGTATTCGTAACCTGGTTAAATTTTTACAATGTTGCAATGAGCATATTTGCGCACTGTGAGTGAAATGATATTAAGAAGTAGATTCTCGAATTATGCTCAGTACTGTTTAATAAAAGGTAAACCCATTTTCTAAATCCACACACATCAAAAACTGAGCTGAACTTATGAGTAATTTATAGACTCTGGGGTCAAACTGAGGGCAAAATCATTTGCAGTCAATTCAAATTGCATTTTCGCAATAAAATCGATATGATTAATATAAAATAAAAATAAAGTGTTCGCTTTTTTGAAGAAAGAAGATTAAAATGAGAAGTCGAATGATACGGAAACTATCCATTTTTCGGGTACCAAAAAGAAATAAAATGTATAACAGACGTTGAAACATCGTGAGAGACACATGACGAGAGACACTAAATCTATCCGTCAACCAAATGTAGGCATTTTACGTAAGAAATTTTTGAACATTTACATTTCCTAAAATTTGTGAAATTAACCTTGAAGTATCTTTTTTTGCCTAGCTACCAATTTTTTGATTAAATTCTTCTTTAATTCAAGCCGAAATTTTTCTTGGACTAAAATCTAAATGTTTGCTCCTTATTACTGAGCTCTTACAGCTTGGTGATCTTTGGCCTCAGTTTCCTTATGCGCTGCACTTCCATTGCTAGGAACTTCATTGCATTGTGAACTCGGAACTATTATTGGTAAAAACTACTTTCGATGAAATTCTTTTTTTGTAGAACCAAGGAAATGAACGCACAGCTTAGAATAACTATCTGGTACACCACACGTACCGTCTAATCAGGTCAATCATTACGAGTTTCTTTCAACTTCTATTTGTTATGTCCTGGTGTTTTTTTCGCAACTTAACTAACCTTCTTTTTGCTTTTACCTAACTTTTATCTACCGGATTTTTGACTGCGTGAAAGAATGAAGGACTGGTGAAATAACATCGGTTACCATGATGATTTCTGACCTTCAGGGACCCTCTAGTACTTAGTAATTCCACAAATAATTGGTTCAAAATTTTGAACTTTATTATCTGATCTTTGATATTGCGGCCAATGATTAATTTTATAAGTTGCCAAATATTGGCCAAGTTTTGAAAAGCTACTTTTTTAAACAATTTTCAATTTATAATTTGTATCCTTTCCAGCAATTAAGTTTCTATTACATTGTTAGTTGCATCATCTTAGATAGGTTTTTGTTTCATTCTTGAATGCTCAAAAAACAACAGAAGATTTGAAAAAGAAGAATGAACCTTTCAATTACTGAATAAAAGTCTATGCATCAAAAAGATGAATTGTAATCAAATTAGTTCTGGTTTCCAGATTAATTGCTCAATTTTTATTTAGTAAAATCAATTAAACAGATGATTAACATGCAATGAACTACTGCTGGAATAAAAACAGCAAATTAATGACTGTGATGGAATTGTCTATATATGTGTTTTGAAGTTTTTTGTACCCCCTGAGGCAGATGATTGCGCCCCTTAGAAGTGCAAAACTAATTTCGGTTCTCATAAAGTTTATTGTGTCGGAGTACGAATCGTTTGTTTTTCTTGCGCAGCTGAGGAAAGTCTGTGCGTGAAAAAAAATACAAATAATAAAACACAAATATAGCATATTGATTTTTCGAACTATATCAAAGCATTGCTTCACTGTAATGTGTTGAAATTGAAAAGGTGCAGATGCAGAGGCAGATTTGTTGTAATTCGGAGGCTTTTTAGCGCCGAAAAATTCGCCTAAGTTTGAAAAAATATAATTTAAATGATTGGCAATTTTTTTGTCTTGGGTTATCATTTCACTGAAGGAATTTCGTAGAACTGTAATTCGATTGTTGCCAGAACATGTATCTCTAACTTGGTTAATATATTTCCATTTTTGTTGGATAGTGCTGAGAAGTGAAAAACAATTTTTGAATGATCGAATTGTTTACTTCTAATCAATTGGCTCATTTGATTACGTAAAAACTGGTACTTTGACCAATTATCGCTTGTGCTTTGACTGCGATATGATCTGAGTGAATTCTGTTTCTTAGTCAACAATTGCTGACATTCTGAATCGAACCATTCCGTTTTCAACACGTTTTTTGGTTTAAAATTACGAACAAACTTTTTTTCGATAGGAGCATGTTGCTGTAGAGCACAAGAAATTAAATAAATCATCGTCGAGAACATGTTTTGTGCGTCTGTACATTGATATAAGATATACCAAGGAAGAGCGGAGAAAGAATTGCAAAATTCATTTTTCTGATAATTTTTCTTATTTAAAGTCGAAATTAACCTCGGTAAAATTTTGCCGCATTTTATTTCCGTCAAAATAAATGAAGCAAAATGGTCGGTTTTATAAGGTGTATCAAAACAAAATTCAATGCCGTTTGTTTCATAGTCACTGATTATGTAGTCGATATGAGTTTTTGTTGAGGAACTAATTCTGGTCTCATCGTTTGGACAAAAAACCTTCAATCCATATGGAATAATTATAGAATCTAAATTTTCTTTTTCTTTGCTATCCAGATAATTTAAGTTATAATCACCCAAAAGCGTAATTTTATTAGAAACTGAAAAAGTATTATCTAGGTTAAGCGTTAATTGTTCCAAAAAATCAATAAAGTTTGATCTGCTTGGGTTATAACACAAATTAACTAACATTTTTTTCTTTACTCGAAATGTTAAATGTAGATTTGCACTCAACCCACACTGACTCATATTTTGCTTTATCAAATAAATTTAAATCAGGCCTCAATTTCGGAGCCAATTTGACTGGTATATATAACAAAACGCCACCGCCTTTCTTTTTTAGCGCTGATTGCCTATCATATCTGAACATCGCATGCGTTCTAGGTTGGAAATTCCATAAATTGTCACTATCTTCTTTTTTAAGCCACGTTTCGGAAATTCCTATAATTGTGTTTTCGCCCATATCATCAAGAAATTTTTTCAATTGCATCCGTTTTCTAATAATACTTTGAAAATTCAAATGAACAAATTTAAGATTTGCACAATTTTTTGAGCAGATACCGTAGACTGTTTCAATGGTTTCGATAGGACCAGGGTTTTTTTCAACATCCCCACTTTGGGTCAGTAACTACGCGAAAAGGAAAAGATGCGTCAGTGTGGTAGCTCTCCGCTCATTTATCCCACATTTCGTTGATAATATCTTTTGCTGGCAGCTTAGATAGCCCCAGTAAACAATAGTTTTTTCTTTAGTTTCCATCTGAGCCTTGGAAATTAGAAAAATTGCACAAAACAACCAGAATTTAATATTCAGCATAATAAGTTAAATTAAATAATCGCCAAAGTTTGCACCAAGAAAAAATGCGAAACTAGTATTTCCTAAAAAATTTTGCACCGTTTTGGAAAAATTGTAACATTTCTGCCGTTTTTGGATCTAAATTTGATGATTGTTGGGTTTGCTTCATTCTGGGGCGGGTAGTAATCTCACATGTGTTTGCATTAATATCAGAACCTCTAAAAGAATCTCTAAAACTTTGCACCAAAATTTCAACACCCCCATCAGAAGGATGCAAACCATCCGAGCTAAGAGCATCGGTATTTTGACTAAAATTTTTGTTTATGTCTAAAATATCCAATTTTACTTCGCCCAAGTCTTTTACATTCCGTACTAAATTAAGAATTTGCTTGTTTAGCTTCTGTACATTGGGCAGCTTCATTTGTCTGCCTACCCAATCAAGATTTTATCTCGCCCAGCGATGATATTCTCGTAGGGCTTCGCGTTGCTCCCTGTCAGGAACAAGACAGCTCTACTCGAGTTTTTGATTTCAGTCGGTTAGAGCTGTCTTGTTAGAGCTGTCTTGATGAGATTTCAGTCGGTCAAACTCTAGTATGTTTTTTTTATCGACTTTCCCGCAATTCTGCTTCTATTCTTCTGATTAAATAATTTCTGATTTGCAGTTGTTGCGAGAAACTTGAGCATGACATGGTCGATTGGAATTTTTTCAAAAATTGTTTTTTTTTGTCCCCTAAATTAAGGTCAAACTTCCAAATATGACCGAGTGGCACATTTCATCATGGTTAAATTATCAAAAAATCATTAAGAAAGAAAACAGACTGTTTTCTAGCTTTGACCTCTGTGTTCTGACAGATTAGGGTTTCAGAATTATGTGATGTATCGGAATTATGTTTTCAAGTCGGATGAAAGACTTGTTTTCACTCAGTGCGGTAAATGACTTATTTTGAATCTCAAAAACGTACGTTTTAGAACTGTTTTTTTAAAGACATCCTGGAAGCAGCCTTCATTTGTTGTAGAAAAACTGCTGCATAATCTAGATGGGAAGTTTTTGTTTCTTTAGCAGGCGGACAGAAACGCCAGAAAAAATTAGTTATTTTTTTCACCATTTTAAAGTTTATTTTTGGTAAAGTTGACTGAACAGAACGTTTTGTGTGCTTGCTGTTTTTTATAGAGACGTCGGCTACTGATGTTTCAATGGTTTCATACTTTCGTCTCTTCGTGAATAGAATCTTCATGTTGGATGCCCCTGAATTTTGTGAACCACATGCATCACCTAGTTTATTTGTGTTTTCGGTAGGGGTTGTTATTCTTTACAAAGAGATCCTTTTAAGATTCGATGAAAGTCTGTTTTATCAAGCATTATTTCAGATGTTCCATGGATTTTGGTGGTACACAAGAACTAACTGATGACCAGTTGTTACAGCAGTTGCGAGAATTCGGAGACACAAATTACAAGGCAGTGACAGCAAAGAACCGGCAGATTTTGGAGAAGAAATTAAACCATCACTTAGCGAGACAATTCAAAAAAGAGAAAGAAGCTAATGCCAAAACAAACAAAGCATCAAAATCCCCAAAAAGAGGACGGCCACCGGCTAGAAGCTCGTTCGCTAACATCGCAATATCTAAAGGTTAGAAAACTGTTTTCATTAAATGCTATAACCAAATGGTTTCTCACTTATTTAGGGCTTACGTGTCTATTGTTTTGCATAAGTGACCACAGCCTTAACTAGAAAAAAGCTATGAATATCGGAAGTGTTTTTTAAACCATAAACCGTTTCTTAGAAAATTTTTGACTTTTCTCAAAAACTATCCTCCTAAATGTGAGATTTTGGGTTTAGTCAAAAGAAAAGGACGAGAGAAGCGCCCATGTATAAATGAGTTTAACCAAATTTTCTTTCAAAGAGTTATGGCTCTCAGAAAAGTGAATGTTCAATTATTTTTGTATGTTCTAATGTGATTTCTTGGGGTAGAATAATCTGCAACACCAGAAGATCTGTAATATATTTTCGAAACAACGAATTTCGAGCGATTCAACTTAGTTTTCAGCAGGGCTGTCAATTTGTTCTCTAAAATGTATTTTACATGTTAATTATATATTAAAAACACGTTAAAAACAAAGTTGAATGTAAAAATTACTGATTGAGTTGTTTAAAAAGAAAAGCCAGCTTTCCAGCTTTCTCGACGCCCAAAGACCTTGGGAGTTTTCCATAAGTAAGTCCAAAAGTTGAGAAACACCGCTCCAATCCAGCAATGGAGGAGATAGCATTGGGCAGTGTAGATAGATAATCGAGCAATTCTTTCGATGAAATTCGAGAAAACGACTGCATTTGATTGAAAGCTCGAATTTTGAAAAAGATGCGTTAATAACATTTTAAATATAGGTCTGTTAATAACATGACAACCCTGATTTTCCGGTTGAAGTTTCAGACTCTGTTTATTCGGTGATTTTTTGATTGTTTATTATTCAATGTCTCTCGTTATTGTAAAAAATGGAAAACTTTTGAAATTTCGAACTTTCAAATTTCAGTGCACAAATAAGTTTTCCAGGAACATTTTCACTACATGCACAAGAACTCGCTTCCCTTGCTAGATTTTTTGGATTTCATTGCTTGGAAGCAGAATTAGTCTAGCGCCAACTGAAAGAGTGCGCGGCCTTTACGACTAATGTCGTTGATTCGAATCCTGCTTCGATAACAGTTGGACGGGTCCGAGTGTCATCCGCCTCCTTAGGACCTGCGGTGGTAAATTAGATGACATCTCTCTACTCCACGGAAAAAGGCCCAAGGTTGAATGGTGGCCGCTAGCCCCGGGGCTATTAAAAGGAAAGCGTGTCAACCGAAAAAAGAACAAGAATATCTGCCAGCGAGCTTTTCAAAGTACCCTTCCCTTGAAAATTATGCACTGACTAAATTTTAATACCATCTCATTAATAATAAAGCGATAAAGCGTTTCCTTCCGTGCGTTCCCTGGATTGCACCAAGCCTCTTTAGATTTTCATGCGCGTCCCATTTGTGGGCGACATCTGATTTAGGTTGACCATTGAGCGACCTCATTTTGAGAGTCATCTCATTAAGCCCTTGATGAGTGGAATGATTGGTACCCACTACATGGTCCTTGCTCAAGAATTCTCGCATAATGTACGTCCTGTCAAGCTCAAGGTTGTGCTGTTTACAAGTTTAAAGGTTGTTTCTATGAAATTGACTGCGTGTTATTTAGTGCTGGACAAAAGGTTCCTGCATTTTTAGAAAGTTTTTTTTTTGTTCCAGATCTGAAATCATTCTATGCAGCAATATGGTAAATTTAATCTGAACCTCGAATTCTTTTTGTAAGCTTTGGATTGCGTATTCAACTCTACATTTCTGGCGTAAGCAAAGTTGGAATTTTTTTCTCATGTTGTTTCTACGTCTGGTAGTATGCATAGGTGATTGGTTACAATGCGGCTTTTGACTTCAAGAATTGTAAGCGGCTAGGTTTTCACAGGAAAAAGACAAAGGATTAAGATTAGATTCAGACGATTTATCCACAAGAGAAAGGACCAACATACGAGTTGTTCAGCTCTTCATGGAGAACTGCTGTCGCGTCCCTGATTAAGAACTACATTCAATGTTTTTGGCTATTTCTCTTAGTTGGGTTATGTTTGTCTTGCCCGCAAGCAAGGAGTACGCATCATGGTGCGCCTTGAGCATGATCCGTGCTCGTTGCTTGAGGAGAAAAGCCAAAAAAATTGCATATAGATAAATATCTGGTTATAATGCGTAAACATCATCATCTATTCGTAGCTATCCAATCTGAGGAACTGTGGCTTCCGTGAGTTTTCAGTGCTGATTTATAATTTCTTAAAACATTTTTTTGGCATCGTGTTGTTTCTAACATCGCTTATGTTTTCAGTGTCATTTGATCTGGCTCGTTGTTTTTTTTTTCTGGAATTAAAGGAGCGTTGAAATTGTTAAACATTGAAATTTGCAGAGTTATATAGATGCTGTCATTGAGAAAGATTTCCAGAGACTAAAGCGTCACTTGTAGATAAAGTTGTAAAAGGCTTTCAACTAGAATAAATAAATAGTTAAATATTGTTTTGTGATGCCTTTATCTAGCGTTGGCATGGCCCAATCCATGTTGTTCACTCAAAGTCACATAACGGAAAGGCCTCTTCTAATTGGTTTTTTCATTATCAGTTTTTTTGTGTTTGATTCAGCTCCAGAGTTTTCGGATTCCGACATTGATCGGAGCCCATCACGATCTCGGCGTAGCTCGAGGCGTCAACTCCAAACAGTCGAAACAAACACAAGTTATAATTTGGACGAAACGGCAGAGCCTCTCTTGGCGCCTTATTCCTCGGCTGCAGCTACAAGTAGTGAGCATAACCGAAGTCGAAGGTCATTCGGAGCGAACACGAGTTACCACTTGGACGAAACAGCGTTCGAAGAACCCTCCGAAGAGTCGCAGACGAGTTCGGAGGGTGTCCCGTTGTACCCGAGCTCTGTCGGAAGAGCAAGTCCGCGTGCTTCGACAACAAGTCGGCAAATAGAGATCAATCGACAACCACGAGATTCTCTTGCAGAAGCACAAACTAAACATCTGAATGTCAGACAGCGGAGAATTTATTCAGCTCAGAATAATGTACCAGTGCCCTCTGGATACGCAAATCGTGAGTAATAGTCTGATTATTGATACACATTTATTTTCGGGTAATTATTCGAAATGTTCCCAAATACCAAAATGATGCAAAAAGATTCGGTTTTTTCATTTGAAGCACGAAGTTGTGAGGGATGTTATAAAATGATTCGAATTTTCAAAAATTTCTAACTGAAGCTTAAATATTGCTATGAAAAATATTAAAACCGAAATTACCTTGTAGTATAATTTTTGCTTCAAATGTTTAATAGTCGATGAACAAAGTCCAGACTCATATGTAGGTCGCGATGATTTTCAGTTTTGTTTTCAGGAAAAGTCTTAAAATTTATTCAGGCTCAATTTTTTTTTCATTATATATCTTTTAATAAAAGGAAGGTAATCTCCACTATCGAACAGCAAAAGTGTAAAGGTCACGAAAAACGTGATTGACTTCTACTTTCGAAAGTGGAATTTAATTTTCAGATTTCCCAGCGAAATAAATTTTTTTTTGATCCAGTTTTTACACTTGTAATCAGCTTAGTGTGTTATTACGAATCTTCTTTTTTTATAACCTAACTTGCAAATAAAAGTTAACTTATTTGGAAATTTCAGTGAAATTGTATAGAATCTGTTCTCTGCTTTATTTGTGATTGAGTAATTAATGGTAACTGTTAAGTGGCTAGGGTGCGAGACTCTTAATCTCTAGATCGCAGGTTCGAAGGGTTATTTCTAATTCGAGGAATATTTCTAATTTATTTATTGCTCTTTATAGAGCTGCTTTTTGTCGTTTTCTCGCAAGTGTGGGCGAAGCTAAGCTTCGCCTCTGTGTCTCAAATTGGGTGAATTTTGATCAAAAAGGGCCTTTCATAAATTGTTCTAGAATTTCAAAGAGCTTCAAGGCCATCTAACTTTTTCTGAGAAAATCGAAATGAGATTTTTTCACAACAAGTCCGTAACTTTTTTTTGCTTTCTTGCGTTCATTGACTGTTTTCCAATTGTCTGTTAGCTATGTTTCAAATCGACTAATCGAATATATAAAAATTGTGTTCAGAATCATACATCAATGATGTGAATTGTCACCCAAGGCGAAGTACAGTGATCTCAGCTGAATCTCCGAGACATCAGGGACGGAATCAGACCTCGCGACACCATCAAGAAACCTCGTCTCTCACAAGTATCTTATCAAAAACCAAAACTCAACCTCAGAAACCAGTTCAGAACCAGGTCTCTTCAGCGAAGAAAAGTCATGCCAAAAGTCGAGGGTTTTTTACGTGGTCGCGTGTGTTGAATATGTTTTGCATTGTGTTGATTTTAGTGTTTGTAAGCGGTGTTGTTTATTTCAATCGACCGTGCGTTGGCGAGCATTGCGCCACGTTTACCAAAGTGGAAGACAGACTGAAAACTATAGCGAAAATGGCTGCAGTTGTTAATGGAAACTTCCAATGTGGATACAACAACAGCCCATTTTTGAGAATCATAGACATGACTTTCGATCCAGATCCGATTTCGGTGTTAAAGTTTGGCCTCGAAAAAGAAAAGGACAAGCTGACGTTCAAAATCTTAGACGATTCAGAGGACTTAATTGAAAATTCGGAAGAATTGAGAAGAGCTTCAAAAGTGCAAAGTTCGGTTCCGGTCAAGTCCCTTTCATGCCGTGTGCGTCAGTCTTTTGCAGCTGTGACGTCAGCTTTGATGTATCTGCTTCTTGGTATTTTCGGACTCATTGGGCTGCTGATTACGGTAAAAGTGTACTTGAATGAAAGCCAGAAAGAGTCGAAGATTATTGATGAGTTGGTGAATGGAATCCTGGATATTGTCAAAGCTCAAGTAAGATTTTTATTTGATAAAAATTGATGCCCTGGAATTGAATTAAATTATAATTGAGCAACCTAATAAACCAGGATCTTATTGGAGCCTCTTTCGTATATTCATCTTCACTAGTTTTGCAATCGATGATATTTCTGAAAATGTACCGAAGATAAATTGAATACACAAGACATAAATCAGTTGATTTCGAGTTATCTTAAGTCAATTTTTAAGTCATGGATGGTGTTCACTTTTAGGCCCAAAAGAACCCGCCCTACATCCCAATCGCCCACGTCAGAGACAGTCTCCTCTCTTCTTCCTCCTCAAACCACAGCATGAAACTGACACCTCTCTCCCCCACAAGATCTGCTGGAGTTAGTATGGGTCAAATAGGGGGGAGGGGTCTTAGGAGGTGGGAGAGGGCGGTGATCCAGCTGGGGAAGAGGGAGAGTCGCCTGAGGACTGAAAACCAGATCATAAAGGGGGAGGAGCACTTGGTGTGGCGGTGGGTGGCCATGGGGGAAGGGGGGCTGACGTCATACCACAGTACTAGCAAACAGAGGCAAGTAATGATAGCCTTGCTGCGATGAGTTTTCGTGGATAGTTTTAAAGTTGTTTCAATCTTAGTTTGGTCGCTACAGAAGCGCAGTGTTTTTTTTTTACTCTGAAGTTATTTTAATGTCGCAGAATTGCCAATTAGGACATGGATTAGGTCAAGCAACATATTATGGATTCAATTTTTTGTTTTATGTAGTAAGTATAACTTTTGAAAGATGTTGGTTTAACTTCAAAGTAGTGTAATAAGTAGCTCGATCAAGTTTTTTTTTGAATTTTTTTGATCAATGTTTTACTTTCGTTACTTAATAATTGCCTCTCAAATGATCTTCAAATTGTCCCGACTTAAGTTTACAGAATAATGCCTCAAATTTTTAGGAGCTTCAAGGCCAAATGCATCGACCGTTCCCGGTCCCCAAGTGCAGAAAGAATCACACAGACATCATCTGCAACAACCACTGGCACATCTAACTCGGAGCCAGAGTCAATTGACCCGGGCAGTCGTGCTGGAATCCTTCGCGACTCACCTGTTCGCCATACAGCCAGACCTCTATCTAGAGATACACACAATGGATCTGGGTCATCTCTTGAAAGTCAAGGTGATTAAGAGCTGGCGAATAAAAGAAATATTCTAGTTTTATGAGAAAATTTTTAATGGAAAGGAGCGTAGATATTATAGTTTCCTTATTACGCTTGCGATTTGAGTTGTCAAATTGGAATTTTGACCTTTTTTTCGGTTAACAACTATTTAACAAAATAACTTAATAATTTGTGCATCATTTAATTTGGCAGCAAACATGCTCAGTTTCTTAAAATTTCAAATTTAACTACTGGTTACGAAAAATAGTTGACGGCTAAGGGCCTAGGCTCGAATCCGGTCAGCACCTGTTTTTTTTAAATCTTAAGTACTTAGGGTCAAAAATTATCGTCCTATCAGTTGTCTGCCTGTCTGTTTTCAGCTTAGTTTCCACATTTCTTACCTTTCTTGTGCTGTAAGCTAGTTTTCTTGTAAATGAAAGTGTCTTTAATTCTTCGATAACCCTTGCAATCGGGTACCAGACTTTTTCCATAAATTACTTTGTTCACAGAATGGTCAAAAAGAGAAATGGTAAATATAGGTTCAGTTCATTTCAAAATTCCTTGTGTCTCCGGCGCTTTTGGTCTGGAGGTAATGAATACTCCTGGGACGGCAAAAGTCTTAGTTTTGAATCTGACTGGACTTGATTTTTTTTCAAACTAAATGTTCCGTTTCAGAAAAATTGTCGGCTGATTATTTGTCTGCTTTTGTTTTGTGGGCTTAGTTGCCGCATCGTAGAATTTTGTTTTCTATTCGCAGTTTACATTGTAGTTGCTCTTCTGTTTCGATCTTCGTATTTTTTCGCTTAAATTTTTTTTCAGCCCAAATTGTTTCGGCTTACATTTTATCGGCTTAATGACTTAATGTTGAGTCGTTCCACTCGAAACGTAGTTTTTATGCTCACCTCTGGATCGCAAAAGTGGCTAAAATCTTGAGAAATTATAGGTCAAGTTTTCCATGACCAGTTTTTTTTTGGTTTTTTTTTGTTCTTCTCCTTTTTTCGGCTTGATTGGTTTCGGCCTTTATTGTGTCGGCTTAATGGCTTAATGACCCCATATTGCGTTTTTCGACGAGCAAAAAATATGTGAGTTTGTGTGTTTTGAGGCTGAGGGGACTTGATAATTATTCATTAGTCTTAAATTTTTCTGAATCGTTTTTTTCCGGCTTTTCTATTTTTTATATTTTATTTTGGCTTAACATGTTTTGGCCTATAATATATTGGCTTAGTGTCCTCTTTTTTTTCATTTGACGAGCAAATATAATTTTGAGGGCGAGGGTTTTTTTATAATCTTAGTCTCTGATATTTTTTTCGACTTAAAGAGTTTCTGCTAAGATATATTCGGCTTTGCTACCGCTTGGTAAAGTTTCTTCCGATGCTAATTTCACATTCTTTTGTCTGCGCTTGTTTTTGTTTCAAAACTAGCCTGATTAATTTTGAAAGATTTTTTACATTTTCGCTTCTGTGTATGAATCAGTTTCATTGAATACAATCTACTTTGATTTCATGAGTCAAGTTTTTTTAAATGGAAGAAGCAGCTATCGTTGAACCCTGTGTTACTTTTGTAAACCGTTGATTGGCCATGTTTGTGTTTTATTATTATGCACACCGTAACGTTTTGAATAATTTTCTTAATGTTGCAGTCTAGACTATTTTCATGCTGTACGTTGTTAACATCTGTGAAAAAATGGAATGTAGTTTTCAAGCAGGAGGGCAAAAACAGTTCTCCATGAAGAGCTGATGAGCTCGTATGTTGGTCCTTTCCTTTGTGGATAAACCGTCCTAATTTCAGGTCGTGCCCGGTCCAGGTCTGATTCCCGTGGTCGGAAGTCTATCAGACTGGGTCCAGGATCGGGATGGTCGAACTACGAACGCTCCTGCATTGAGATCATTCCGCCTACCAACTGCTTAAAACTGAAAGACTTGGCAATTGAGAGCACTGGAAACGTCGGCTTGGAATCCGCAAAGCAAAGTGTAATTGAGAGAATCCAGCGTCACAATTTCCAAGTGTACAGTGTAGATTGTGACCATAGAAGCGAGGAGTTGGCTGTCTATATCTGCTGCAAGGATAAACCACAAGCTGCAGATATTTACAGACTGTTTTACGAACAGAAGTACAACGGAGAGAAGGTTCAAGTTAAGTTTCTCAGTGTGGACAAGTATTTGGTGCGATTTCCTTATTTGAAGCCAGTTGTTATGGACAAAGTGTGATCTGGTTCAATTAATGAAATCAAAGGAGATTGTTCTAAAAAACGGGCAACCAGATTTCAAAATCGATCGAACAATAAATCAAAACTGAAATCTTGATTGTATAATAAATTTCAAAAACTATAAACTGAAAAGTTTCGTCTGTTTTTGACGAATCGAATTAGTTCATCAAAATCTTTGGAAAGAGTTTGCTGAACATTTATTTTGTAACGTGTTGTTTTGTCATTCCGATTATCGTGTTTAAAATCACACTGTTTGCGGATTAGTTTTTTGTTGAAAAATATCTGCTTTACAAGTTGATGAGATATTGTGCCTTTGATTTGTGTTCGTATGAAATACATTTTACTTGATCAATTTTTTTAAAGCTGCCTTGTAAAATGAATTATTTACGAAATCATTTTCACTAATCTTGATCCTAGCCCTGCCTTGTTTTTTTTTTCATTTTTGGTGGTTGAAATTTTTGTTTTATTTAGCAATTTTTATATGAATTTATTTGAACAAATTGAAGGACGTGTGAACTCATGATTTAAAAAAAAATGCAATCCATTTTGTATGTGACGTCACATCAACTTAGGTCACTATAAGGTATATTTTTTTCTTAGAGTTGCCAGCAGATAAGAATTTGAATATGAACGTTTTCAGTTTTTTAGCTGAAAAAATGCATTTCCAAAAAGTCTGAACAGAAAAGTCAATCAAATTAAGTGTTTTGGCGGAAACATTCCAGATGCCATTAACTATTAAGGTATTGAGTGAATATACTCAATTGTGCAATCCAATTAATGTTAAAGCTGTTAAAACATTATTTTTGCCCATGCGATGTTAGAATCGCATGTGATGTTATAATTTGTGTTTGAGTGCAAATAATTTGTGTAATTTTCTTGTTTCTTTTACCGGGAAAAGTCTTCACTACTTTGTTCATGCTCAAGTTTACGTTTTAGAGGATTGAATATTCATATTGTTTCAAGTTGATTTCAATTAAGCAAATAACGCTTGCATGTACAATCAGGCTTCAAAATTTGCTGCTTAAAAGAAAAAAAGCAGTTTTTTGGATCAATTGAGCAATATTCCCCGTAATGACCAATTGAGCTATCTCCACCCCCAAGCAAAAACGGTAAGATGCTACAAAAAGATGCCAGCAAACGTATGTAGATGATTGATGTTTTCATAGCACGCAATCAATTGACCGGTTGAAATTCAATTTTAAGAGTATCGGGAAAAGTTTTCAAAAGAAAAAATTGAAAGAAAAAGAATTTTTCTGTTGCAAATTTTTGTTTGGGCGATCTTTGCCTTATCGAGGAAAGAGAGTTACGATAATTCATGCTCTAGCTTTGTATCTGAATACCAAAAACTGTTCTCCACTGCATCTTAGTGTACGCAATAGATCTTTTTCAATTTAGGACAGAAAAAAGTCGCTGTAAGTGCCTCAGTTTTATTGATTTTTTTTTCACTCTGAGCGTAATTTTTGAGCTTCAATATTGATAATTTTGCTCCACGTTTGTCGGAGAATCTGGTTCATGATTTCACATGATAAGCTATTTTCGAGTGGTTATATATATGTTTCAAGTAGCTATGGAGATATCTCCCCACGCAAGAATGGGGATGCGGGAGAGATTGCTCAAATGATCCCTTTTTTATGCTCCATCAAAAGTCTCATCAATCATTACACCATTACTATAATAATTTTTCCCCCATTACTATAATAATTTTTCACGAGTCAATGATCTATCAAAAAAACGAAGTAGAGACTCTTATATTTGACCTGATTTTTTTTCGAACTGATTTTTCAAGTTAGTTTCTTCGCGGGTTGAATTTTGATTGTTTTTCAAGTTCAGCTCATTTTCTTTGTTAAAAGAGGAAAAATCCACTTTTGGGTAGCAAAAGGAAAAATTGACATGAAAAACGTGATTGACTTTAAGTTTTGAAAGTAGATTTTAATTTTCAGATCTGGCAGAATAAAAATTTCAACTGTGGATCCAGTTCTCTTAATTTTTTTTACTCAAAAAATGGTATTTTTTGATAAAATTAATTTTTTATCAAAAAGTTAATTTTAAAAAATGGCAATATTAAACTGTCCTTGGAATTCAAAAAATTCTAAGACTACAGGTTTTTCTTGAAAGTTCGAAAGCTGAGGTTATTATTTCAAAATGTCAGTTTCATGTTTCCTTGCGTTCATTGACTCTTTTCCAACTGTCTGTTGGCTATGTTTTTTTTCTATAGTTATGCATGCTTTTTTGCAAAATCGTGCACTGAGTTAAATTTTAATCAGTTTGAGAAATTTCATATGCGGGATAAAGTATTGTAGTTGCGAGGTTGTTCGACTTCCAATCTATAGTTCAGCGGTTCGATTCTGGAGCGTAGCATACTTTTTTTCAAGGCTCATTTCATTATTTTCAAGGCTTTTTTTGGTAGCTGGTTCTTTTTCAAAAAAATAATTGTGGGGAAGATGCAGGGACGTCAGACTCCGAACCTATAAAAGGCAGTTGGATTCTGAAGCACAACAAAAATTGAATTTATAAAGAATAATTTTTTTTCCGAATTTAAGTATTTGGAATTTCACCTCCTCTAGAAAGACTTAGTTGCGCACCTGGTTCAAATCATAAAGCCCAAGTTCAGTGGAGCTTGCTCAAACTGATGACAAGTTTTCAAGTCAAAGCTTTTGATATGAACGCATATTTTTAAAATACTCAATAAACTAATCTGAAACCACGTATGGCACTGAAAAGCAAGTTCTATAGAAGGTATAAAAATGTTTCTTCTCTTTAAAGCATTGGTTTGGTTATAACTTTGCACGCATATTAGTTATATTAAAAAGCACGCACACTTATTGCATTAAAACTTCTTTTTGGTCCATCAAAAACAAATTTGTTATTAAAGGTATGAAAATGTTTCTTATCTAAATAGCATTAGTGTGGTTAAATCAAAACAATCATATTCATCATTTTGAAACGTTGTGAAACGAAACGCTGTTGAAACGAAACAAAAACTACCACATTTTTTTGAATAAAATCAGAGTTGCCAAGACTGCCCGGGTTGACCTCCATAGACCAAAAATGCTAATCATACAATTCCATATATGAATAAATACTAATCATAGACCTTTCATGCAATTTTCTGTACGTTTGGAATTGCATGGAAAGTGTATGTCTAGCATTTTTTCATATATGGAAATTGCATGACTAGCATTTTTGGTCAACCCGGGTGAACAATATCGTATGAGCAGGATTTTTTCGGATTCCCAACAGCAAACCAAAGCCAACTTAATATGTGTTTCTTCTGATTTTTCATTTCATTATTGTGCCACAGGCTTTTATAAACTGCAATCGATTCATGAAATTTCTAGTAACTTGTTATAAGAAATTAAAACTACCTGCCTTATTCCACGCAGACCACCATTAGTCTTCTAAACCACCTCAGGTGAGTCATCTCGGTTTTTGTGTAGTTGAGTTTCACGAACTCAAGCCTAACTAAAATAAGTCATTCGCTAATTAGATAAAACTTCTGCAACTTTTAAAACGCCAATTGAAAGTCATCTCTTGCGCGCTATTGGTTAACTTTTTAACCTGGAATAGAAATTGTACAGAATAACTAAGAAAAACCGAAATTAACAAGATATTCTGAAAGTTGTCCAGAAACGGATTGAGTATTACGAATTGCCAACACAAGCAGGTGTAAGCATCAAAAAGACTACTTGTTAATCTTAAACAGTAATACATGTTTTTTTTTTAAATTAAACGCCTGTTTTCAAGGAAAATTTGGACTATTTTTACCTGGAAATTGATCAGTTTTCTTTTCATAGACCAAGAGTTACCCGTTTTAAATAAATCAAACTTCGGCAATCAAGGATTTTGAGGCTTACTCAGATATGCGATGTGGGTACAAGAAACTGCGTGTGAGTAAAAATCAGTCTTAGTTTTTGTGCCTTAAACTTTCAAAAAATAAAAAAAAAACTAAAGAATTTTTTTTATTTTCTTGTATCAAGCAATAAAACAAGATAATCGTCTTCAAGCAAAACGCGGATCCCACTTAAAATTTGCGGATTTCTCTTACAAATTGCGGTTTCTACTTTGTGGATTCAGCAACAGCTCAATTTAACGATACAAATGTCTTATTATTTGTTTGTGGATTCCTCAAACAGTTCTGGACTTCGCAAATACAGTTGCGGTTTCCGCAAACTCGCCTATTTTGGAGTGATTTTGCGTTTTTGAGTGGTACAAGGTTTTAAGTATTTGTTTGTGGAATCTAAAACATCATAGAAAAACAAAGAAAAGTAGCAATGTTGCAAATTCCCCGACAAATCTGATTTTGGCCTGTCGCGGATTCCGCTTAGAATGCACAGTTTGACCTCGTAGTGAATCTAATTAGTTAGGATTGCGATTAGTGACTGTTTGAAGCAATTGAACAAAACAACCACTGTATTGTAAAACACTCACTCATCCTATCGAAAATGTGTTTTTGAAGTCTTTATAAAGTGAATTTTTTTTGTGGCCCTCCCTACATTGTTCTACCTTCATTGTACATTTTAACCATCAAACACTTTGAATTAATGCCAATCATTCATTTTATAAAATCAATCAAGCTTTTTTTTTTAGAAAACAGGCACAAAGTATTCGCAAAAAGTCAGTTTCTGAGCTCAAAGGACGACTTGTTTTAATTGAAACGAGACCGAGTAATTCAAACTTACATAAGAAAAACTCGACCAAAAAAAGTCAAGCAAACATTTGGCCAGGCATACCAAGTTTTCAGGTGATTACTTGTTAAATGTTCATAGTTACGAAAAACAACTTTGTATTAGAGGAAGATGACAAAGTTTCCATTCTTGTAAGTGTAAAATGTAAAAATTTTGAAAAAAAAAATTAAAAAAAAATTGGTTAAAATTTTCGAACTATCGGAGTAAAAAAACAGAAACATCAAATGTTCTCACAGGCTGAAGAATTGTACTACGAAGGTTAATTGCTCGAAAGCTAGATCTTTTGGAAAAATTATTTGAACACATTTGTTTGATCCCATTGTGTCCCATTTATTTGATACCAAGAAAAGTAGTTGATACCAACCCAAAGGGGAAGCCAGTTTCAGATTTTGATTGTTTGATTCTGAAGTGTCGTTAAAGAAAATTGAAAAAAAAAAACGTGAAAAATTATGAAATAACGCCACCCGCACTCAGTAAAAAGAAAAAATAATCGATTATATGACAATTGTAATTGTACTTTCATCAATATTATGAAATAAATATAAGCGCCAAAATTAGATGCTAGAAAACTACTTATAATCCATTATATTGATATTTTTTATGTGACATAATAATAAATTATAACCAATTATAATTGATTATAGTTTTCCGAAACTCTCTTTTTATCTCTTATTATCTCTTATATTCTCTTATAATCAATTATAAATTATTTTAACAGAGTCTGATCCTTTTTTGTATCAAAAGTCTCTGAAAAAGAGATGTCTTGTCACTCTTTGATTCACCTGAACACAAAGTCTTACCGCGAAACAAAAGTTTCATAGAGACCACTTCATTTTAGTTGAAAGAATCCCGGGATAAGTGAAAGTTAAGTTTTCTATATAAATCATTAAACTAAAGCAGTGTGCAGACTTTTTGTAGTAAAAAAATTTAAAATGTGCATAATCAAACAACTACAATCAAGAAGAAAAGAAAACAAAACGTTATAAAAATGAATTGATTTGAAAGCTGTTTAAAAATTTCCCATTTTTCACATAAACCATCGTCTACAAAAAGCGTAAAATATAAGCAATTCTGTCCGAAAGTCGAAGACAAAATGAGCAAGCAAAAGGGATTATAAACAACTTTAGTTGATTATATTGGATTTTTTCTGCAAAACAAATAAATTAAAAATTCAGATAAAACTAATCGATTATAATAGATTTTAATGTCTTATAGTTGATTATATTTGATTTCAAAGAGAGAAATTATAATCGATTAATAATTGATTGAAAATAATTTTTTCTCATGTTTTGTAAAAATGGTACTAAAATCTTTTTTAAATTGATTATTAACGCTTGAAACTGGATGCGGGCGGTGACTTTTGTGTTTTTTATTCCAAACCAGTGAAACAAAATGGTTACCTAAACACTTTGGTGAGGTGTTAGTGAGAGGAATAATAAAACATAAGCAAAGAAAAATCTTTCTAAGCAAGTATTTTTACAGAAATGTTTTGAACATTTTGCTCTTAATCTTAACAATGGTCCAACTTAACCAAGGAGTATGCTGGAAAATACTTTGATTGAAGTTGTTATCCATTTTTTGATTGGCAGAAAGCACTTCTAAAGACATCCTCAGCTCACTCTATAGTTTTTCAACCTGCAAATTAGGTTTTACAGAAAACCCAACCAACTGCAAATCAACAATATGCAAAAGGAATTTAATCTTTTTAATTTCAAAACTAGCAGGAATGTGTTAAGTTAAAATTAAATGAGTGAGTTAAATCTAAAATTACATGTTCTATTTCAAAACAAACTTGAACAATGTGCATTAATTAGCAGTTGAAGGAGTTGAAGAGACAATGCAAAATTATCTAATTTTATGAGTTTTAATAGGATTTAGTATATCTGGCAAAAAAGGGAACGATGAAGTAATAAAATAGAAACTTGTAAATAATATTAAACTCAATCTGAACCGACTCGAAATTACCACAAAAAAAGTTTACCAGAATTTAATTTAAGGGAGCATAGAAAGCCATTGTTTTAATTTGGAAATACGAAAAAATCAAGAAAAGAAAACTTACCAAAAATTGTTATTTAAAGAAAAAGATTTCGGCTTCAAAATAATGAGAAAATCCCATTTTTTTTTAAAATTAAAGGCGCGCGTTTGAAACTTTTGAAAGATAGTTTTCTGCGAGAAAAACTCTCTCAAACGTAGATGTTTAGGATGAATTCAAAAAACAAATTTCGAATAAAACAAAGGTACCTTTAAAGCAATACCTTACATTGTAACTTTTTCATATTCACATCTTTAGTAACATGCCAAAATTCCAATTAGTTGCTGATGTGCGTGTGAGATTTTGTTTATTCGAAAAAACCATTCTCACTTTTTTGTTTCAAAATAAAGCAAAAGAAAACACTAGCAAATTTAAAAAAGGACAAAAAAGTGACTCAGTTATCTGACTGAAAAAAAAACGTTAATTTAGAATTGCTGAACTTTATCCTATTTTTTCTATTGGTTACCATCATGATTTGAAAAAAAAGGAAAGAATTATTGTTTCATTCAAGGTTTTTTGCTCATCAAATCAGTTTTCGCTGTAAATTCGTGCTGTTTGCATTAAAATACTTATAAATGTGACTGTTTTCTAACTAACTCACTGTCTGACCGAGAGTAAAAAATGCTTAAAAGAAACCAACATAAAATTTGCAGAAACCATCTAAAAATTACTAATGTGATCACGAAACTAACAAAAAAATCGCAAATTTTCCATAAAAAAATTCACGTTTTTTGACATCAAAGTAAGTTTGCTCTCAATTAAAATAAAAATGTTAAAACTTAATTACCAAACCTTATAAAAATAATCAATACGTTGCCAAATTGTGCATTTCGTGAACTGGATTCCGCAACAAGGACGCTCCGTTCTGTTCTTTGATTCTTTTTAGTCATTCCGACAAAATTTTAACATGCTTAAAGACTTGTCTCTGGAATCCAGGAACATACAGATACAAAATTCTGCGCTTGTTCAGTGCAAATTTTGGCTTCGTAATGATGCTAACCATATCTGAACCAGGTATAAATGATGGTTTCTTTTCTAATCTCAGACAGTAAGGAACCACAGGATGTCATTTTATTAAATTACTGATTTATTTTGTTAAGTAATATTTCCAAGCAAAAACAATTTAATTCGATCAAATTGTATTTTAAATAAATGTTGGTTACGTTTGTAGAGCGAAATTATTTTATCAATCAACAAAGTAATTCTCGTTAAAAGGACATACTTTTCGTGGTCACTAAATTGATTTTAGTTTGTTGTTGAGTAAACTGTACAGATGGTTTCAGGACAAAAGATACCATACCAAAAGCTCCCATGACAAAAAATACCATACCAAAAGATTCCTTGTATAAAAATTGCCCATACCATGCCAATTAAAAGATCCCATGAATTATGAACAAAAATCATGATCAAAGTGTAAGCAGAAATAAATCTAGAGTAATGATATCTCAATTAGGTTCGCGCTAAAAACAATGCAAATTTAAGATAACTTAATTTAAACCGGACTCATTTTTGGGATTAACATAGTGCCAACATGTGTTTAATTTAGTGTTAATATGGCATTGAATAAGAACAACTTAATTGAAAATGTATACACTCTGCATTCATTATCTCCCTCTTTAACTCGTTGATAAGTCAAAATGAATTCTTTTACTTGGGGAACCTCAAAAAAAGGGCAAACTCTGATTATTCTTGATG